TAACACAGTCTTGTATATCCAACACAAATATTTCACTCAAACTAGATACTTCAATGAATGACTGGCATGCACTCTATCAACAGAAAATTGACTAACTTTCTGGTTAACTTACAGAAACCCGCTATTAACAACTGCTCAGCATCCACACACTGAGTATTTCACTCTGAGATTCTACTAACTATTTTATAACTGATGTCTCATTTTTAGATATTTATATAAGTTACTAGATTTTTGTGACTTCATCTAAGGTGTTCTTGGAATTAAGTTGATCGTAACGTGATGCGCACTCTAGCTAACATCTAAATTAAAACAATAAAGTATAGCTTACAATACAGTTTTTAATTTCTCAGTTTTTACTTACTGGTAAGAGATTAATGACAACATTTCTTCAGGCCAATTTCAATATTTCTCATAGAATGCTTAGGGTCAGAATTATTGCTAATATCCTTCGTTGTAAAAACAGATTAAAATATTAACTAGCATCTATTTCTTAATTTTGAACAAATGCATTGTGTCCGTGAAGTTGAAGAAGCTTTATAAATGACAGAATCTACTTAATTTGTTGAAATACAATGCCAAAGACATCTACTAAAAATGAAATAATTGAATATTAGAAATATGCTTCTAGTGAAAAGTTAAAAGTAATTTAGAGTCATCATTGTTTTTAACATGTTTCAAACAAAAATATAATACTAGATTAACTGAAGCGATTTAATTATGAAACCCATCTTGCGAAATATATATGTGGTTAATTTCCTGCTCAATAAACTAATACAGCCGTATATGTTAATCTTTGATTCCACATCGTATTCAGATTTAGAGTAAAGACACAATCGTAAAATTTCTTGTATGAGTCATCAACTTCAGGTTTGAAAAAAAAAGGATGAAAATGTTACTTATTTACTCCAAAAAGGCACTGCTTTGGAACTTTTCTATGCATAAAAAATTAAATATAAAATAAACATTTATTCGTGAATATATATTTACCAAAGTACGTCAGAACTTCCGTCGACGTCATCCAGGCTAATATTGTGTTTATTACAAAACCTAGGGACAATAAGGTATCTTCATTGTTTAGAGTTATAGCAGCCATTCGTTGAAGTAGTTTGACACTTTAGAAAACTGTACTCTAGGCTTATATAAAATAAGTTAAAATCTTTGTTCACGGGCTGAAAGATGGCTCAACAACCCACAAGCAGTGCGTTGAGAGCCCTTGCCCTGGAGTTTAAAAGTCTGCAAGAAGAACCCGTTGAAGGTTTTAGGGTGAAACTTATAAATGATGAAAACTTATTTGAATGGGAAGTGGCAATTTTCGGACCTCCTACTACTCTTTACGAAGGCGGTTATTTCAAGGTAATACGATTCCAAAGAAAGATTTAAACTTTAACAGTACTGTCAGTAGCGTAGCTTGAATAAGCCTAATCCAAGTGTAGTCGTATAATATTATTATTATTATTAATATTAATATCTAACTTGCAACAGTAAGTTTCAGTTTCACTAGTGTAATTACACAATACTGTAATTAACTTAAGTTATGCCATTTATGGTCATAAACTTAAGTTAGCATTCGCAGTGTTTTAGAAACTTTTATGGGAGATATTAAATATTACTACTACTAGTACTTTAGCTTAGTTACCTTAGTATAACAAGTAATTATAACTAGTACTAGTAGCAGTAATAGGTAATATAGCTTATAACTATCACTCACTGTTACTAATAGTATTAGCACTACTAGCAGTAGTATTGTAGTAGTTTAATGCCACTATTAAAGTACTGTAACAGTATATAATAATATACTGTTAATATTAGTTATAGTATAACACTCATTTTATTAACAGTATAACTATAACTTATAAGTAGTAAGACTAAATTATTTTCATATTAAAAAATAAACCCACTTTACCTAGTCTCATATTTTTCAATTTATTTGTAAGCTAATGTCGGCAATTATTATGATTTGACATGTGTTCTCCACTCTTTTCATATGGCAAGGAGGGCAACAGAGCAGGGAGCTGGCTGTGTGTTGACTAATATAAGCTCCCCTTCTGTGTCTTAAATGTCTTTAAAGGTAGCCTTTAAATGCATTTACACCACTCACAGAAACTGCTTCGTTCAGAAGATTGTTCCATTTAGCCACTACTTGTTGAGAGAAAAAGATCTTCCTTGGAGCTCTATATGTACATTTTATTTTTGTACTGATGACCTCTAGTTATAGAATTATTAACTATAAAGAAATCTGCAGCATTTAATCCTTCAAGGCCTTTAAACATTTTAAATATCTTAATTAAGTCATTCCTTAAACAACAAGTTTCAAGTGTAGTGAGGCATAATTTCTGTAACCTCTTTTCACAAGAAAAATTATGATAACGTGTTACCATCTTGGAAAATCTCCTCTGAACTTGTTCATGTAGATCTACATCTTTTTGAAAATATGAATGCCATTCTTGAATACAATATTCTAGGTGAGGTTTGATAAGTGATTTGTACAACTTAAGCATCACATTACATTCCTTATTTTGAATGGTGCTGTTATGTATCTGCTTGTTTGTTTGTTTCTGGTAGAAATTGTTTCCGAGGATCTTCAGCGATACAAGTCATTTCTTGATTAAACCAGTTTATTCTTCCTTGACAGTCCATTGGCATTTCTATGAGATTCAACAGATGCAGCAACACTTACAGGAATTTGGCCTTTGTTGTTCCCAAACATCATTTTATCAAAGTTAACTACATATTTCCTCGGTAGTAAGTAGTCCAACCCTAATATGCATGGGTCTTCAATGTCAGCCAAGTATACTTTGTGTCTGTCCTTTATGCCTATGAGTTCAATAGTTACCCACACTGGTCCCCACAACCTAGCATAATGTCCTGTCACACCACAGAGCTTCTGTATGGCTTCTGGTACTCCTTAGTGATCCAGCACCTTGATACTCACAAGGGTTTGCTGAGATGCAGAATCTATGACAAAGTTGCACTTTTGGCCATCCAGCTTTCCTGTCACGTAGACACTATGTGTGCTTGCCATTTTACACCTAGAGGCTGGGACTTTCACAGTGGGGGGTTGGTGGGCATCCCTCAACACCAACCACTACTGGTTTCCCAAAGCTGACTTATTGGTAGTATTCTTCTTACACTGGCTCCTCATACATCCTTGCTTTCCACAGTTCCAACAACCTTTCTGGGTAGCAGCCTTTCTTGCCGTGGCATCTTTCCTGTGTTGAAGTTGCCGGCATTGAGCTCTCTTGTTACAGTGCCAGCAAAGTCCCTCAAACTTCTCTGAGAGCTACCCTTTTCTGGCCTTGAATCCTGATGACTGTACTAACCTTGGTACCTCTGTGCTGGACTTAATGTAGGAATCGAATTCAAGAGTTCTGGCCATTGCATCCTGTATAGTAGAGGGGTGTGCTTACTTCACTTGTATCTTCAGTTGTGGACTGTCCAAGGCATCTACAAATTGATCTCTCAGCAACAGCTTGAGGACATTGGGTGGTGCAGTTGGGTAGGCCTTGTGCGCCATACTTTCCAAATCTTGTGCCAGCTCTTGCAGGCTCTCCCCTTTAGCACGGACTCTCATCCTAAGCATAGCCCTGTAGACTTCGGAATGATTTTGAGTTCCATACTTGATTTTTTGAGCAGCTACCAGTGCTCTGTAGCTGTGCCTGTTGTCTGCTGACAACTGTCCAAGTATTTCCAGTGGTTGTCCCTTCAGACTCGTTGCCAGGTATACTGCTTTCTGCTCTTCTGTCCATCCATTCATTTCTGCCAGGAGCTCAAATTGTACTCTGTATGCTTCCCATCGAATTCCTGTGGCTTCCTTCGTTCTAGGTCACCCCTATTGCTGACACTCGTGTCTGGAATGTGACTTCTGGCAGGACTAAAGATGTCTGCATTAGGGTTTAGCTGCAGGGTCTGGAAGGGGCTTCCTGTTGTCTGGGGCTGATTAGGTCCATGGCTAATATATCCTCCTTGTGTAAAAGACAGTATATCATCCTTAAATGTATTTAATTCACTTTGAAATTTAGTAATCTTTTCCATTTGTACTTCATACTGATGTTGTACTCTCTCTCCTTGTTCTTCTTGCCACTGTTGCTGACTTTCCTGTAGTTGTTGGAGACTTTCTTCCTGTTTCTTTTCTCATTGTTCTTGTTTCCTTTCTTGTTCCAGTTGCCACTGGTGCTGGTTTTCTTGTTACTGCTGTAGTCTCTCTTGTTTATTTCTTTTCTTCTCCAACCACTGCTGTTGCCTCTCTTCTTGATTATTTTCTTTCTCCTCCAACCACTGCTGGTAGCCTCTCTTCATGTTTCTTTCTACTCCAACCACTGCTGTAGTCTCTCTTCTTGTTTATTTTGTCGTTCTTCATGTTTCTTTTCTTTTTCCTCCAACAACTGCTGTAATCTCTGTTCTTGTATTGCTGCTATCAAATTTGCTAAGTTGTAGTTTGATTTGCCACTTCTCTTTTCTGTCTTTTTCCATCCCTCTTCTGACACCAGTTTGTTACGTATCTGCTTGTTTGTTTGTTTCTGGTAGAAATTCTCTCTGAGGATCTTCAGAGATACAAGTCCTTTCTTGTTTAAACCAGTTTCTTCTTCCTCGACACCAACTTTTAGTACACAGAAGTTCCACAATCAGTACATTTCTTGTCACTTTAAACTGAACAACTTTTATAATACACTCTATAAATCACAGCGATTCACAATCTTGATAACTTCGCTCTCGATGAGTGCAAAACACACACTTTACAGCTCACTAGCTCGAAATTAACAGAATCGTAAATTACAGGGCACTTGAAGTAACTACTGCTCTCTCTTCATTCATTTATCTATGCACTGGCTTTCACTGCCAGGCTTATATACTAACAAAGAGGCGTCTCCAAAATTTGCGGAGTTCCCCGATAATTCGAGAAATTCAGTCACGCATGCGCCAGCAGTGTCATGTGACTTACAGTACTTTTAGTCCTACCTAAAATCTGATTTGCAGCTTTAGCACATTGTTTGCTAACATCAAGAGATGAGTGAATAATCACTCCTTGGTCTTTTTCTTTATTAACTGATTCAATTAGATTGTTGCTGAGGAAATAGTTATATTGTTTATTGTTGAAACCCAAATGTAAACACACACTTCTTGGGACTAAAAAGCATTTTTGAGGAGTATTCTTGTAGACAAACTGCATCAATTACAATTGCTATTCTACGTTAGACTTTGGTATCATCTGCAAATTTTGAGTCTACTACAGACATTCCCATCAATGTCATTAATATAAATAATAAGTAAGATGGGGCCAAGCACATACCCTTCAAGTACCTCACTTTTAACAGAAACCCACTCGGATGCTGTGTCATTTATAATAACTCTGTTGAAAATTATGTAACCATTCTTAGATCCAATTTAACACTTGTAAAGATATTCCATTTACATAAAGCTTCTTAAGTAATCTGGCATGAAAACCTTATCAAAAGCTTTACTAAAGTCAAGATAAATTATATCAACTAGGTAACCTTCATCAGTGTATTTAGTCACTTCCTCTAAATAAGTACATTGGTTAAACATGATCTTCTTCTGCTAAAACCATGTTTTGTGTGTGTGTCTGATGAGATTAAAGGTTTTTAAATGTAAGATAGTAGCATCCTTGATAATAGATTCAAAAGTCTTACTTATTTGACTTGTCAAGCTAAAGGGTCTGTAATTTGAATGTAGTTTTCTTGAGTCCTTCTTGAACAAGGGTGAAACATTAGCATTTTTCTAATCCAGTATGACTTCAAAGGATAACTAATTTCATATGTCTCTTCATTAAGAACTGAAAAGCATAGCTTATCAGTACCAGGTGCTTTACCAGGTTTCAATTTACAGAGCTAATTTTGGACAACCTCTGGCAATAGATCAACATTTTTCAACTCTTGCTCCATTGAATCAGTAAAATTACGTAGAGTAAAGACGGAGCTAAAGTATTCATTTAAAATATTAGCTATTTTAGTGTCACCTGTGATCACATGACCATTGTCATTGATGATTGGCCCCCACCCATTCTTTGGCTTTAGATTTAGAGATAACATATCTTTAAAGAGACTTGGGGTTCCCTTATGTTTTCAGCCAGTTTTCTATCAAATTGTTTCTTTGTCCTTCGTAGCTCCTTTGTGGGCTGATTTAGTTGGCATTTGTACTTCAACTAATCTAGATGCTCCTTGGATTCACTGTACCTCTTCTAAAGATGATACTTCTTCCGTCTGGTAATCTCAGCCCATGATGATTTGCTTCTCCTATGTTTAGCAATTTTGAGGAGCACATACTTGGAAATAGCTTTATCCATAATCTATATATATATATATATATAAAAGAGGAAGAACCGTTTGGTTTCCTAT